TACTACAGCCAGATCTGAAGGCCTTTGCCACATTCTGGCCATGCTGTGTGGCGCGTATCGCGTGGACGGGTTTCACGTTCTCTGCACGTAATAAGCTCGGTTATTAAGCATCCTTTTTTGGGGATGCCCGGTGGCCGAGGGGAAGACGTGTAGTGGCGTGAAGCTAGGCGATTAGGTGCCGTACGCGAGCGCCGGTTCGAGTCACGCACGCAGTACGTATTTACTATAATTAGACATAGTCTTTACCTTGCCGTTTATTCGGTGTTATTTGCTTACTTTACTTCCTATGTCGACAGCAACTATGAGTTTGAATACTGTGCGTAGCGGCGACCGTAGTGCATTATCAAGTTCAGGAGAAGATCCTGTGCAGTGTACTGTAAAGGGGTTAATTATTCAATGGGTTTTAATTTGGCTTATTTCGCTGACTGAAAATGCGCTAAATTAAAACCCAGTGAATATGTAAAATTTAGCATAGAACACATTATCTAAATGATAAAACAGTGAATTTAAAACCCACTGAATATGCCTGAAATGCTAAATAAGCGAAATTTAAGCCCAGTGAAAATTAATCATTTTACGGTATTACAATCTTAGTAAGGGGGCGACTCACACACTAGTATGTGTACCGGCACGTTCGATCAAGTTCGCTCAAATATGGTTGAGGCAGCATATTATGTGAAACACTTTTTGAAAGTTTGCTTAAAACATAATATGTTCTAACAAAACGTTGATTATAAATAGTGACATTTAGACATACTAGTTTTGTAGACTTGTTTCAATCGTTCTTGTGGTAAACTTTCTCACATCTTATTTGTTTCGATGTGACACAGATAAAATGTTTATACTTTGATTTTCGCTACGGTGACTTACGGGATAATTATTTGTTGTCAATTTTGAGTTTAGAAATAATATTTTGTTCATAAAATTGAACCAATTTTTTTTTAATGTATGTTATATTACACAGGAGAATAGAATATAAAGTGTCTACAAATTTAAACATTGTTAGAAAGTTTGAGTAGATTTCTATCTATACGTTATCTGAAGCTTCATGGTAATTACCTGCTGTGTATAAAATCAGTGTCATGTAGCAATCTTCACAACAACCTAATTTGAATACCCCATTTATTTTCACGCATGCACATGCTTATTCAAAATGTCTCCAATCTCACACATTTGCATCATTCAACATTGACGCAATTTTAGGCTCCAGCGTTATGGGGTGAAATAATTGCCATGAAAAAGTAAATGGCAAAATTATCAGGCCAAACAATCTTTTTTTTTCTGGTCATCGCGCGTGTGTGTAAATTCAGGGGGAACTGCTTTCGACTGTGTTTCAGAAAGTTTCTGTCAAAATATTGTGAAAATGACATCTCGGAATCAGAAATATTTGTTTACTTTGCCTTTTGCCTCAACAACGGTTTTGATACTAATTATGTTAACAATTTATGAAATGTACAGTGATCAGCTGAAAATTCCACTTAAAATTCGGCCACGCGACGAGGTTACCCCTCCATCCTTTGTAACATCCCATAATAGTTTTGTTTAACGTAAGTAAAATATATTCCTTCCGATTCTCGACCAAACTCTCGCGGAGGGGTACTACAAACGGTACCGCCAAACACGAACAGTACTAAATGTACGGAATCTATTTGTATCTTTATATTAAATCCCACACAACGGTTGAGTCTTTTGGCGCACGTGCAACGCAACGCGATTAATCTTGACTTTTGATCACAGCAACTTCAGATCTGTTTTTGTTATTGTTGTTGTGTTATTCTTCAAGTTGTAAACTGATGACACAGACACATCAAAGCTGGTTTGTTTCTGAATATATCTCTCGAGATTGCGTTCACTTCTCTTCTTTCGTATGTGTTCGAGCGTCATTTCTTTATTTGAGTGGATACAAAGCATGGTCGCATCTCATTTTGAGACTGACAATGGCAGTTTATCCTTGTTCACCAAGCGCAAAGAAGGACTGAAAAGTTAGTTTGGGACAATTAGATATTCTTCCAGGACCGTTAGGCTTCGGGATAGAACCAAACAATTGTCGTTGGAGTGTTTCTCTCGGTGCATCGATGGTGCGAATGGCATTAGATCGGCTGCTTCTGTACTGCAATAAAGGTATATCACTCTCAGCAGCGACAACTTTAACGTTTCGTCGATATGTCGGTGAACCAAACTGGTGCATCGATCAGTAGTTGCAAGATCAGTGAAGCAAACGGACGCACGATATTGCACTTACTTTTAACGATCGGAAAAGAGAACTCTATGATTACTGTTTCGAGCAAGGCGTCTAGTTTTGAACTTGTGAGTGTCGCCAAGGTTGTATTTCAGACAGAGATCGTAAAACTTTCGGCGGTTTAGGGCTAAACAGACCCAACGGATGCCAGTGATAAACGTTTTATTTGACGTTGGAGCATAAATTGTCCCCGTATCCCAAATTCCATACACATGTGGACTCCAAACACGTGGGCGCGTCATCCACTCCGAGCATGTGTTCTGATTTACGCGTCTGATGTCTCGTATTAGTAAGGGATTAACGAGCCATCGGGATTGGAGACACGTGTACGCAGCGTTTAACCTACCTGTGTCAGTGCCCGGCGATGGGCGTTACACGGGG